CTCTCTCGCCTAACTCCGTTTCCAGCTTGTACAATCAATAAAGTCTCAAAACCTTTTTGGTTATACCCATCCATGCCTTTAAATTACCTCACGTTAGCAGGATGAAGATGAGCAGAAAGCCTCTTCGTTTGTCTTTTCTTCTTAGGAGTAGTTACAAACCGAAACATCTGCCAAGATTATTTAATTTAATTATTATGTTCAGTATTATTGTGAATATAGATTATGTCTTCTAGGACTGAAATACCGTACGATGAGCCTGTAGAAACCAATGTTTCGGCTGATCAAAGATACTCCATGTGAAAAATTGTGCTAAAACTCCATATGCCAGTAGTAACTATATGTAAGACTCTATAGAGGATGCGTGAAACTGAAATTGTTAATAATAGAAATGATCAAGGCAGAAAACCAAAACTCTCCAAAAATGAGATTAAATATCTCAAGATATATTACTGGTTTAATACAGATTTTCACACCGACCTTGCCGTAAACCTCGAGACTTTAAGATACATTTAGCACAAAGTGTACTTGATGGATGTGTAGCTATTCAATAACCGCTGTTGAGTAGAGATAAACAAGACTAAAGATAGAAATGTGCAACAGACCACAAACAGTGGAATGAGTAAAACTGAAGATATGTTTTTACAGATTGAATCTAACTTCGAATTGTTTGGCAAAGATCAATAACAATTTGTTCAACGGTTGAAACGAGAAAGGAATCACAGTCATTGTACAACCTCTACAGTGGAGCATTGTGTGGTGGGATCGGTACAAGCTTCAGGCTGCATCTCAGCCAATGGTATCAGTGACCTACACAAAACTGGCGACATCCTGACTGTTAGCAAGTACACGCACATTCTGATCTGTCATGTCTTTCTCTCGGGGACATACTCATTGGGTAGAGATTCATTAATAATACAATGATTCCAAGCATACAGTAAATGTGGCAAAATATCTTGACAGTAAACAGGCTGATGGTACACTCACATTTATATTGTTACGTCTCCGTTCGTTAGTTAATTTTCCGTAAAAATTCTTCCGAAGAATTTTACCGATACAAGTCCTTTCTTAAATGGAACTGGTTTATTCTTTCTGAATACAACTTTACGATACACTTAATTTCAACAGTCGCTCTATAACAAACGCTATAATTCACAATGAACTTCTCACGTGCTCAACAATATTCTTACTCATTACCTTCCTTTGCTTCTTGGGCAGTCTTATATATATACACTGAGTGGTCACAAGTAAATAGACACCTAATTTTTAGTCATTTAACTGATTTATGCTAAACTAATTTGTGTTCACAGAGCACTATAT